AGCCTCTAGAACCAAGAGAACATTGGCGGTGGCCGGAGACGGCTGAAATCCCGGTGGAGCCGTGCCCTCCTGCGCCCCGCCGTATCCCGCCACACAAGTGTCCTGCTTCATGCGTGACCTGCGTCAGTCATGCGTGCACCTGCGTGTGTGTGCTCTGGGCCTTAGGTGCTTTGTTTTCTGAGGAGCTGAGGACGAAAGCCTGCGGGCAGACGCCCCAGGCACGAGAGAGCTGCACACCTGTGCAGTCGGCGGCACAGCCCGGTTCAGCCTCCGCCCTGTGTCAGCTGCTGTGGCTGCGGGCGTGGGTCCCGGCAGTGGCCAGAGCCAGAGAGACACAGCCATGCCTCCGCAGAAGCACGGGGACTTCAGGGAGTGGGGAGAGGTGACGGGCACCAGAGCCCTGTTCTGCTGCTCCAGCGAGTAACTGGACCCCCATCCAGGAATCCCCAAGCCCTCCAGAGAAAGAAATGGGGGGCGTGAGTCACCCCTGTTTTCACAGAACACGGGCGCCCTTGGGGAAGGGACACTTTTGCAAGGACAAGAAGCAGCTGAAGTTCACAGACATCGTGTATTTAACTGAGTGGCGTGAGGGGGAACTGGCTGGGGCTGAACGCTTAGGGTCCCCTGCACAGGGCTGCCGTCCTGTGCGCTAGCCTAATGGGACGGGCAGCTGGGGACTGGGTGGAGGTAAAGGAATTCCGCGCCTCACAGGCAGGGGCTCAGGCCTGGGACACCTCTCCCCTGGTGTGGGCAAAGGCGCTTGCCACTGCCTGCATGTTAAAAGCCTGCCTTCCGTCGTGATGTGGATTAAGGGCCTTGTTAGTTGTTTGTGCCTGCGGTCTTGGCACATAGGAAGGATGGCAGAACACGGTGGCCAGCGGGCCCCAGGGTGATGCCCTTGGCCTTGCCATTGGCCAGCAAGGGCGCTGAGCTACCGAGCTCTCCTGCAGGGTGGGAGTGCTCGGGGTGCCCACCGCCTGGGGTTTCTGGGGTGGCAAGTCGGCAGGTGACTACAGACATCTCAGAGCAGCTCCCAGCACAGCGTGAGCACGCAGTGAGTCCAGAAAACAGTTCATCCCGTGCATTAGCCTTCACGCCCACATTCCCTCCTATCTGGCAAGTGCAGTGTGAACTTGGGGAGGATTTGAGTGACAGGAGGCAGTGGACGGACGTGGGTTTGCAATCCGAGGGGCCCTGTGAGCCCTGGCTCTCCAGGGACGGCGATGTGTGTATTTCTAACCAGTGTGTGTAACTTTCATCATAGTGTGGCGGCAGGCACGCGCGCCCCGGTCCAGACTCATTTCAGAATAGAAATAAGGACAGAGTCGGAGTGGCAGTGCGAGTCCTGCATGAGGCGAGCGACAGAACAAAGCAAAGTAGGCGAAAGCAACAGCAGCGCTGAGTGGTCCTGCCAGACGGAAGTGGGGAGGGGACCCAGGCGGGATGGCCGGATTGGGGGGGAGTGCGTCCCTCGGTCTTAATGGGGACTCTAACTTCCCTGGGGTGGGCCCAGACACAGGGTCGGGGCCTTTGCTGGTTGGCTGGAGCCAGGAGGGAGTTGGGGTGGAGGAGTCTGGCTGTGGGTGAGCGCTCTCCAGTGCAGTCCTGACAGCTGTGCAAAAGGGGAAGCCTGCAAACTGAGGGAGAGGGAGGAGACGCTCCCTGCTCACCGTCTTCCCCGAGCAGCCCTGCCCTACAGCCTGGTCCCTATAGCCCTGACCCTACAGCCCCATCCCTACAGCCCTGTCCCTACAGCCCCATCCCTACGGCCCCATCCCTACAGCCCCATCCCTACAGCCCCGTCCCTACAGCTCCATCCTACAGCCCCATCCCTACAGCCCTGTCCCTACAGCCCCGTCCCTACAGCCCTGTCCCTACTGCCCCTTCACCCCCTGCCTAACATTACTGCCTCTTCGTTACGACATATCCGCATAGCTGTTTGCGAGAGCTCCCGCCTAGCGGAGTGAACCTGCGGTCGCAGAAGACATGCACAATGCTGTTTAGTGAGTATTTTAAATGATTATACTTATAAAAACTTAGAGAGGGATGAGACTCACCGACAGGAAAGTGTATTATTACAGGATGAAGATGCAGCGTCGAAGGCCAACGGAGAGACGGTATGTTAATACTTTGAGACTTAAGGAA